AATTACTTTTAGGCTTTACTGAATTTACTTTTATATGTCTAAGAAGTAACTTAGTGAAATCTAAAAGTAATTTGTGATTTTTCATCAAAATATAATCATGTGAGATCTTGTTGTAAAGATTTAATTATTACGAATACAACGGTGAAATCGGATGAATAATTTAAGAGAAAATTTTATTTAAAGCATAGATGATAGTAATATTTCCCTTACTTGCTCAATGGATTAATAGCAACCAAAACTCCTAAAGTACTAGCGCATGGGTGTCTCTAGTTAAAGACTAGATTTACGGTTTTGTAAACGTATGCTTGGGATGTTTTTTGAATTATTATAAAAAACGTATGTTTGGAATGTTTTTTTGAATTATAGAGAAAAACAAAGAAAAAACAAGAAAAATTGTCTAAGCCCAGGTTCGAACTGGGACCTCTAATTAGGAAACCTATAAAGGCTGGCGGGCTGGGGCGACGCTGGGGTGTGCCACGTTGGATTTTACCGTGACGAAGTTACCGTGCACGCGGTGAAATTTTGTAAAAAAGCCCTCCAGTTTGTGCGTAATTCAATCGAGGTCCCCCACGAAAAGTTCATTTGAAGAGTCAGTTCACGGATAGGCCCTTAAAAAAGTCGGATATTGCATGCGAAAGAGAGAAAATTCACGAATTAGGACCGCGCTCTAAAACGTGGAAGCCCAGGGGTTTTTTCGAAAAACGACGCCCTAACCCACTCACCCCTAACCCTAGCCTATAGGTGTCCAAACGGGCGGCACGGCCCGGCTCGGCACGGGCACGGGTCCGGCACGGCCCGTTTCGGCACGGCCCGTTAGGCACGGCTGATGAAACGGGCCGTGCCGTGCCGGCCCACATGCCGAGCCGCCGGCCCAAGCACGGCCCGTGGATGGCCGGGCCGTGCCCGTGCCGGCACGGCACGCCTGCGGCCCACGGGCCGTTCGGGGCACGGCGGCCCGTGAAGGCAGGCCGGCAGGCGGCAGCTGAGCTGCACTGGCCGCCAGGCCGCCAGCCGCCAGGCCGCCAGTGCACAGTGTTTTTTTTTAAAAAAAGCAAAGGAAATGTATAAGGAAAAAAAATTAAAAATGGAAATAAAATGTTTAAAAAAAAGTAATGATTTACTAATGTTAAAAAATGAAAAAATGGTATTTAAAAAATGGAAATAAAAGTTTTTAAAAAAGTAATGATTTGCTAATGTTAAAAAAAAGAAAAAATGGTATTTTTTTGTTGTGTTGAAAAATTTAAAAATATAGATTGTGATTCATTATTTTGAAATAATTTAAAGATAAATCCACACTTGCGAAAATATTGCAAAAGAATTTGTTAAAAATAGTAATGACTTTTATTGATGTTTATATCATTACAGGATACAATGATACATGCTGCCTCGTTAAAAACTTTGTCATGTAAAAACTCATAGGGGAAAATGAGAAAACCATGACAAAGAAAAGAGTACAACTCAAAGGTCAGAACTACTTCTAACAAAATTCTACTGGGGTTGGTCTGGATCTAGGTAGAGTTGCTCGAACTGGGCGGCCAATTCTTGGTTGTCCGCAGTGTATTGGGCATGTTGTCGAGCAAGCTCCCAGTCTTTAACGCTTAGTAGCATTTCGACGTGGTCGCTGCGCAGAGTCGTCCTCCGGTCTTCGATGATTCGGCCGCATAGACTGAAGGCCGATTCGGAGGACACCGTCGACACGGGCACCGTCAACACATCCCGTGCTAGTTTTGAAAGCACAGGATATGTTATCTTGTGGTCATTCCACCACCCGAGGACGTTGAAATCTTGTGCTTCGTGGTGGATGGCGTCGCTGTCCAAATAACCGGACAACTCTTCGGCCACAACATGCGAAGAGGCGTCTCCACTTGTAGCCGACGAACTGCCACCACCTTGGATTGAAGACGATCCACCCCAAATCCTACCCCACTGTATCTTCTTCTTACCTGTAGTGGGGATAGGAGGGGGTCTCTGCTGGCGAACTTCCTGAAACTTTACTTCATATCTTCCAAAAACCTCATATAATTTACGTCTAACCTCAGTATAAAAAGAACTATAATCTACACCTATAGTATCTCCAACAAGTGATAAAATAGCAGACAATCCCCTTAATTTACACCTAGGATCTAAAACAAAAGCAAAAGCATACAACATAGGTATATTTTTCCAATATTTCAAATATTTTTGTTTCATGTGAAAGACAGGTTCAGTTAGAACGTCATCATTTTCGTATTCTTTAAATAAAGTAGCAATTTCAAGAAGGTTGTGCAAAATTATATTAGCAGTTGGATAATAAACTTGTGACAAAGTTAGAGTACAATCATAAAAAGTTTCTAGAAATTGGTGAAATTTTTGGACAATTGCCCAAACATGCTCGTTCAGTACTGAAGACCCGTCACTGTTTCTTGGGCCACCACGTGACTGAACAAAATCAGAAAGTAAACTACTATAAGGTAAAACAACTTTTAACATTAAATACGTTGCATTCCACCGATGCTCTGCATCGGTGGCAAACTTACGAGCTTTCACACCGGCCGCATTGCAAAACCTCTTCCATGCAGCAATCCGCGGGTTAGAAGCAGTTAACCACGCGATTGCTTGACGAACAGCATCGATGTGGTCACCTACCCTCTTCATGCCAGTCTTAACAATCAAATTAATTATATGACATGCACAACGCTGATGGAGTAGAAAAGATTGAGCATACACACAAAATAAAGGTTGCAATATTTCAATAGCCCTAGAATTAGCAGATGCATTATCTAGGGTGACAGCAAATATTTTATCAGCAAGATTAAATTCATTAATTACTCCCTAATTCTTTCAGCTATGTTTTCTCCTGTATGTGAGACATCTATTAACCTAAGCCCTAAAACTCTCTTTTGTAATTGCCAATCATCATCAACAAAATGAACAACTACGCTAAGATAATCCTCTCTAGCTCTACTACTCCATATATCTGAAGTAACACTAACAGAGAAAGTACATGTACTAAACAGTTCCTTAAGTGCAGTTGCTTCCTTGTGATAAACATTCTCTAAATCTCTAGTTGATGTTTGCCTACTCACAGCTTTAAACCTAGGGTTATGAGATTGCTGAATGTAATGTTCAAAAGCAGGGGACTCCCCAAAGTTCAGGGGTAAATCTTGCCTGGCGATTAACCGGACAAGAGATTCCCGAGCAACCATGGGATCGTACTCCCAACTGCGTACCGTACCGTCTGGGTTTACCATAAGTTGCTGCTGCCGGAGTTGTATTCCTTGCTTCTTGGCACACGACTCCGCATGGCGCTTGAGGTGACCTGTACCACCAGAAGAACGAGCAGATAAAATTTGCCTACATATTCTACAACGGGCTTTCGATACCTCCCTTCCGTCGGGGCATGTTTCCTTTATCTCGTCGAAGTTTTGCCACACACCGGAGGTTCTCAATCTCTTCGAGCCGGTGTGTGTCGAAACACTTCCGCTCGCGGTTCCGGAAAATCCTTCCGAAGCTGTCGCCGCCTGAACCGGTACCTCCTCAACGACAGCCGTATGAACCGGTACCTCCTCCACAGATGGTGGAGTTGGAGCCGATCCGGAGGTATCGTCAAACCTCGACATGTAGTTGGGGTCGAAATCACCCAAGGTGAACGACGGCGACTGGTATGGAAAGTTCGGATCCATTCTGAAAATTTAAACCGACATAAACAAATTTTCGAATATTTATTGAATTCACAAACACAATACAAATAATACACAAATTTGAATATTACTTACATCTTTCCAACCGCGAGCTCTTCAAACCTCTGCGATCAAACTGTTGAACTACGAAACTAATTTTGATTTTTGACAAAATTTGAGCAAATTTTGTCAAAATAAAAAAAAAATGCACACTTGAGAACAAAGAGAGCACTTAAAACACTTGAGAGCACAAGATGAGGAGTGTGGGATGAGGAGAAATGGCTGGGGTTCATGCCCTATTTATAGGGCGAAATTTGAGATTTTTTGGAATTTTTTCGAAATTTTTATGAATTTTTTAGCCTCCCAACGGTTATTTTCAAATTTGAACGGTCAAATAGCCGTTAGTGCCACGTGGCGCCTTCCCATTCGACCGCCGCCCGCCCTGTCCCTGCTTTCGGCCTGGCGCGTGCGCCGCTGGCCCGCTTTCGGCCTGACGGGCCGCCGGCGAAACGGGCCGTGCCGTGCCGCGGGCCGTGCCGTGCCGTGCCGCTACAGTAGCCGTGCCGTGCCGTGCCGGCCCGCGGGCTCGGCCAGCGGCCCAAGCACGGCACGGCTACTCGTGCCGTGCCGGCACGGCCCGTTACTGTAGCAGGCCGTGCCGGGCCGTGCCTGCTACAGGTTCGGCCGTGCCCCGGGCCGCCCGTTTGGCCCGGCCCGTTTGGCCACCTCTACCCTAGCCGCTGCTCACGCTCTTTCCTCTCTCTCGTCTTTTCCTCTCCCTCTCCAGCTCCCGCTGCCGCCGGCTCGTGCCGCCTCCGCCTCCCCCTCGTGCCGCCCTCGACGACGCCCGTGGCCCTCCTCGACGACCATAGTAAAAAAACCCGTACCGGTGGTCGACCCGGTGATCTCGTTGGTTCACTGGTTCACCGGTCGGACCACTGGGTCAGCCGGTTCAATGCTGAACCGAAGGCATATGACTATTATATGTTTTCTATTAGACAGGATGAGTTAGCTAGCTAAATGGTAAGCATGATAAGGTCTCGACGCACAGGTTATGGGTTCAAATCCCTTCCCACGCATGTTTTCTCTCCTATTTTGCATAAAATGTAAATGGGCCGTGGGGTAGGATGATGGGCCTTACAAGTCCAGCCCCAAGTGTTAGCCCAACTTGCAATGAACCACCTGTTCTTATGAGCCCGGTTCACCGGTTTTCAACAAAAACCGGCCAGTTCACCCGGTTCTTACCGGGTCAAATGCACGAGCGGTCTTTTTATTGAACCGACCGGTGAGAGACCTGGTTCCGGTTTTTGCCGGTTCAACCGCCGGGCCCGTCCGCTTTTTTACACTATGGGTTCCACCTGGTTCACACGCGCGGGGGCGGCGGACGGAGGGAGGGACGGCGCCGCTCGGGAGAGGGAGCGGGAGCGCGTGCGTCGCCGGTGGCCGAGCCGAGCCGAGCTGCGTCGCGGTGGTGCTCTCCGCGGGCGGCGAGATTCAGCCCTGACCCGAGGAAGGTGAGGGGAATTCTTCCTCGGGGGTGGGTTTGGTGCATTCCGTGGTGTGAGATGCGGGGGATGAACAAGGCTTTCGGGGTTTGGGATGTCGCGGGGATTTGGGGGCGGTGGGTGGTTTTCGGCTGGGAATTTGCGGATTTCGTGGCTGCTAGTGGTGTTCCCGTGGCTTTACGAACAGATGTATATGCTTGATCTCGTGCGGCTTTCCCTTCTATCCCTCTCTCCATGGTTTGCTCGCGTTGGGGGGTTTCGAAAAATTTTCCCTACTGTTAGTCCTCGATTCTGGTCGTCGGCATGGTGGCGGTCGCCTCCGCCTCCCCGCTCACCGCCGCGGCGGCGCCCTCCATGTGCTGCTCGCCGCCCGCCTTCCTCCCTCTCCGTGCGCACCGCAGGAGGATTTTCCGCGCGGAGGCGATGAAGACGCAGCAGGAGAAGAAGCAGACCGAGGTGGCCGTCGAGGAGTCCTTCCCCTTCAGGGAGACGGCTCCTCCTGATGAGCCGCTGGTCACCGCCGAGGAGAGCTGGGTGGTTAAGCTCGAACAGTCTGTGAACATTTTCCTCACGGTGATTTCCACGAGTCAAATCGGATTAACATCAAATTTGAGGCAGATTTTGTTCAAATTCAGATTTTCATTGCTGTAACCACACACATATTCCTGTTCTATTCGCAGGAGTCAGTCATCACGATACTTGATGGATTGTACCGTGACCGCAACTACGCTAGATTTTTCGTCTTGGAGACGATTGCTAGGGTGCCGTATTTTGGTGAGGATCTCGTCGTACATGCTCGCTATAGCCTGCAGGTCTCTGAATTTCACAATATACAAGTATGGTTCCTACACAGTAATGTTTCGGTTACTGTTTCACTGACTGCCTGACTATTGAACAGCGTTTATCTCTATGCTTCACATGTATGAAACATTTGGCTGGTGGAGGAGAGCTGATTATATAAAGGTGCACTTTGCTGAGAGCTGGAATGAGTTCCATCACCTCTTAATCATGGAAGTACGTCTCTAGCTCTTTCTGTCTGCACATCAGTGCATTTATATATGCTGTTTCTTCCTGTTTTGATGTCCTTTTAGATTATGTTAGCTGTTAGCATATCCCGTTTTCTTTAACTGAATATAATCTTTAAAGGAATTCAACCTACTGCTTATTGACACATTATCTGTTTTTTTTTAATATTTTGGTTATGGTCTTTGATGTTCTGACTTTATTCCTCATCTTGGTTCATATTAGGAATTGGGTGGCAACTCTTTATGAGTTGATCGTTTTCTTGCATGGTTTGCTGCATTTTTTTACTACTTCATGACTGTTGCGATGTCACGAGCCCCGGCGTAAGAACGTATGGGATATGAATGTGTGATTGGCGGTGGACGAGGGGGTTTGGTGGAACGACGACCCGTGATGAACAGCAAGGGATGAGCAAATAGAGAATAGGAGATGAGAGAACTAGAGATTGAATCTGCTTAATTAAACGCCACCGAAACTGTGCCTCTAAATAGGCGTACACGAATTAACCAATGTGCTAAAAACAAGCTAACAAACTGATAAACAGACTAACAATCTGAACTCATCCAATCGCCGCACTGTAGTCATCCGGCACGCAGCTTCCGCGCGCTACTCCGCCGTTCCGCCCGGCGACGCTTGCGGAACCACACGCCCTCTGCGACGATACGTAATCCCGACCATGACATGCGATGTACATGGTGAGCCCAAGAATGGCATGTAAGTGTGCACCTATGCCAATTATGAAGTAAAACACTTCATTTTTATTTCCATGCCTTTTATGTAATGATAACGCTTGGAATTGTTTATCTTATATACATACCGCTTTTCTGAATGTGTTGAGAGGCATGCGTACTCAACCTATGACAAGTTTATTAAGCTCCATGAAGGTAATAAAACGTTGATGGATTTGACATCTCTCCTGTCGTGCAAAATTTTATCATGACAACTAGACATCTCAAAATTTTTGTTGCTTTATCTAGGTTGGACAGACTTTGTAAACCAAAGTGGAAATGAGGGGACCGGGAAAACTAAGTATTTACTTTTTTTATAGGGATAAGTTTATGCCTACCTTTTGTCACAGATTGCCCTTGTGTGAATAATTTGATACATGCGCCAGTGAACTTATGTTATATCAGCTATTTACTTCAATTATTGGCAATCAGGATTCAGGCATGGTGTTTATTTTAGTTTTATAGGTATCGTGTGCATAAATTCAAAAACATGTATTATTCTTCCATTTTTGATTAAGATGTCGGCTCTGGTATCCTTTTATGATGTACTATATTTAGATTTTTTTTCCGTCCTACATAGTGGTTACTTGAATTGTGGGAGAGTTGAAACATACCTGAAAAAATTAGCAAAGCTAGATCCCCTAAGGTCTGAACACCAAACTGGTAGACTCTTTGCATTACTATCCATTCAGAAGTTGATGCATTGTACATTTTAAAGGGTGCATTTTAATAAACCAAAATGTTGAACACTGCAACCAATAACACCATGTCTACCCGACCTGTCCACCAACTAGAAATTTACAGGAACATCACACTCTGTCAATTATATTTACGTATTTCTTGGCAAAATAACATCCTGATCTGACCTTTGACTGCAGAAATGTAGCTGATGCCATGCCTGCATGCCACCCATGAGTGGCATACCTAATATCAATATCAAGGAATGACTTCCTGTAGTGCTCTTCTTCCTTGAGAGCACACGCAATAAGCTATCAAAGAGTATACAGCTTTTCCAAGAAAACGAAAGGTAGAGATTTTTTTTATCAAATATATCAACACATGACCTATTTGTTGACTTGAAAAGGAGGATTGGTTATACTTCAGGTTTCTTGGTCCTTGAAGTGGGAATTGGATATGCAAACTGACAGCTCCTTTTCTGTTTGTGGTGCAGGGAACGACAGAGAATTGCCACTCTCTAACCCAAGAAATATCACAGGTATCTGAAGCAAATCACTCTCTAACGTTACTGTTTTTTTATTCTGTTCTAATTTTATCTGGCTAGGAAGTGGGAACTATCGGGCGCTGGAATATTGCTGCTTCTTTGAAGCTCCTTTTTTTTCTGTCACAAAAACTATTTCGTCGAAGTAAATGGATGGTTAATTCGAAATGTGCCCATCTTGACGAAAGGAGCCTAGCACTACCACCACATGGCCATGGTAGGCTGAGTCCAGAATAGAGATTAGATTCCCCAATCCATGACATGCAATTCGCAAAGGTGATACTCAGATTGTGTACTGTCAAGAGAATGGTTTCCTGACTTTACCATCCACAACAGAGTCACACTAATGTAATATTTTTATGTACCATTATACTACAACATTTTTATTTTCCATCAAGTTTTTATTCCTCATGTTCTTCACATCCTCTGTGCTTCTCTGGTGATTTACATGGTATTACTTCATGAATTTACAGACATTTATTTTCTCCATGTTTTTTCCCCATGTATCTATATTCACACTGCTGAACTTTGCATTCTATTTTGCAGTTGCAAGATCTTGGCAGCACACTTATTGAGTTGTGGAACCTAATGGACACACCAACTGCTGAACAGAAATGCTTTGACCATGTTACGTCTTTGATTTCAGTCTCACCAAATACAAAAATGCCCCAAGGATGCCTTGCACGTGAACTTATTGAGAAGTTTACAATTGATCGACCATTTTATGTTCTTTTGCTTTATTTGGATTGTCATTGAAGCTAACTTAATTTTTCTGTAAAATCCGGTTGAGGTTAAGAGGTTGAATTCTTCTGATCATTGTCAATACAACTATAGCGATTCATTGAGGGTAAGAGCTCACATAACTTTTATGTGCTTTACTAATCTTTTTCGTTATACCTTCCATATTTGATTACTATGCAGTAGTAATTATTTTTCTGATCATTGTCAACACGACTACAAATATATTTTATAGTAGAACCTCTCATGAATTACACTGAAAAACAAAGGCCGAATCATCGCCTGCACAATTGATCTTTAATAAATTGAACCTGCCCACACTACCTGTATGTGCCACAGTTCTATATAGAAATTTCGTGATTAGCTACGTTATGTAATACCTACACCAACCATCCTATAATACTATCACTATAATTTCATTGTACCAATATCTACTATTAACACCACTATTCGCTTTTATCACCGGCACCTTCCACACATAAAAATACTTATAGACAAATTTTCATACAGGTGGACATTCAACGAATTATGTTTCTGCGCAAAAAATGTACAAGCCACACCTGATCTAAAAAATTACATCAATGTTATTAAGCGTTTCCTACAGCATTCGAGCAAATTCTATGCTGAGACTGTTAACAGGACATTCCTTATGCAGAATAGAGTTGTAAGTTCGTACACCTCCTGTTCATTCCTTCAAATTTATAATACATACTGCTCGTTTTTTCTGCGCACCACAGAAAACTAACATAACATCCCAGTTGCAGTACTTTGCTAAAGAATTTTCAGAGGTACATCGAACCACTGATGCACAACAGAAAAACAATCAACATTTAGGTCCAAGTAGCAGGAGGCATTTCAACCGAGATGATTCTGAACATGTCACCAGACGGGCGCTGCAACTTGGTGAAAGGATGGGCAGATTTCGCAACAAATAAGAACATATCTCGGATCAGTCTGCATCTTCCACTTCTATAAAACAACTTACTTGGAAGCTACTATCGATGTTCTCTAACCAACATAAGAATGCTCTTAGTCATGCTGGAGGCATCCTTTTGTTACCAGTAAACACGGACATCACCATGGACATGCACCGCTCTCCGCCCCTGCCACTATTACTATACTAATTAGTTCTGCGCCTTATGTGCTTATCACATAGTTTATGCTCTTCTGCAGATGTCAGGCTCCATCTATATATATCTACTTATTACTATTAGAGGCCAGTACAATGCCTGTATCAACACTCCTGTGCTAACTGGTAGATACTTTTGATGCACCTGTTTACAAGTGTTTATATACTACTCTATGAAATGAACTTATGCACCGCAAGTGGTTAAATTCTGACCATGTTTCGTCAGATCTGTTTACATTGTTTCTTTACCTTCACTTGCTCCAGCTGCTTACGTACAGAAATCACCACTGTTTCCTGCTTCGTTTCTTTGTTGGCCGTTCAGGCGGCGCGCAAAGGCGCGCCCCAGGCTCTAGTACCTCTAATACGTGAGACTAGTGTGGTAACCGACTACACCACCCAAACTTGCCGATTTAGACTTGGCAAAGAATTTACATATACATTTTTTCTACTCGTTTCTTAAGTTTAGTAAGGGTATCTACTCATCTGCCATGGCATGTTGTTTCTGCTTCTTAAGCTCCTGACCTAACTTAATTCGCAGAGAGCAATTCAGGGAAAACATCTATGAAACAATTCATGGCACGTTTAATTTAGATTATTACCATGAACTGTCTACTAGATTATAAGGCTACATTAAATATTTTAAGAAAAAAAATTAACAACAAAAATAAAACAAATGATTTAAGCAAATACAACAGAAACTTTTTTTAAAATTTTTTTAAAGCATGTAACAAATAATATGTTTCAATAAATCCAACAATAAGTTGAAAGACGGGACCTAAACTATCATTCCACCTATGGAGTAGAGGAATTATATTGAAATTTATCAGGGTTATGGATACCACATACCTAATAGTAGTTGACTGAATCTCGGCAGGACTCATCACATACCATGTCTTATACAGAAACAACCTTCAGATATAGGAGGAGTTTCGCACAAGGAAGGATGAATAAAGTTCTACATGGAAACGACAAGGACTACTCGGATTGTATCCATATTGGTTTCCCTAGTTCTACTTGGACAAGGGGACACCTATAGGTATAAATATAAGGCCCCCTAGGAGGAGATGGGATACGGAACAATAGATCAAGACACAAGATCAACATACCAGCCAACACGCCGCCAAATATCAACATCAGAGATTAGCTTAGACAAACCCTATCCGGTACCTGCGGGGGCCGGCAAGAGGGGTCAAGCACTATCTCTGATCTCAACGAGTTCGTGCTCGAGGAAGAAGACTACCCTGTCGTCGACTACGAGTTGGGTTATCTAGCCGTCAAGTCGACGACAGCCAGATATGTTATCCCACATATTGTATTTGTGTGATCCAAATGAATAAAGAGCAACACCGGCTTCAGCCAACAGGATGTAGGGTTATTACTTGACAATTTAGGGGCTCGAACCTGTGTAAAAATCCTCGTCTCCGTCTCTTTTACCTAAGTCTCGCGTATATCCTAGTACTAACGATCCCCATACTATGCAAATACTAGAATCGCGACATCAAACGTCGACAGAATTTGTTCAGAAGAAAAAAACTTAAAAATATAAGGGATAAAACTACTACTAAGTGCATATTTAGAAATACAATACTTCCTCCGTTTCACAATATAAGTCATTCTAGTATTTCCTACATTCATATTGATATTAATGAATCTAGATATAGATCAATATAAAAGCGAAAAATGCTAAAATGACTTACATTGTGAAACAGAGAAAGTACTACTTATTTTCATGAACATGAGGAGCAAGCAACAGTTGCTTATTTGTTGGGCCATTAAGTACGTGATAAATGGGAAAGAGATGGTTGCCTGTAAAAGGAGATAATGTTCTGATTTACTCCTAGAACATTGTGAGTATGTGACATAAAAACCTAGTCTACACGACCATCCAAGCCTCCAAGGTATGTGAATTCTTAAGCATTTTGAATAGTTCCGTAGGATTTCATAAGGTCAATTTTTTTTTCAATAGTTGTATTGCAAAACTGTTCTTTTTCTGATTATGGAGTTTGAAGCTTATCTGCACACTTCACAAGCTCCTAAATGATAGTTTAAACAAAACTCCAAAATGATAATTTTTTGTTAAAAATTCTATATTCTAAATCAAGCTTTCAACTTTATATTAGTTAATTCATTATTTTATACTTTTAAATAGCTATTACACAACCATATTATCTATCAATCCATCAGTTTCAGCTATCTTAAATAGATGCTTCAACTTATGCAAATGTGTATTACATCTGACTAAAAACCGTTCAACTGCGCTCCTATTTACTGCTCCCTATGTTCATATTCCTTTTGACTTTTACTCTATTCAAACTTCTTTAGATTTTACTAAGTTTATAAAAAAATAATAATATCTATAGCAATATATTAGTTTTATTAAATATTATATTGAATATATTTTGATAATATGTTTGTCTTGTAAAAAAATATTACTATATTTTTTTATAAACTGAATCAAAATAAAAAACGTTTGGCTAGAAAAAAAAGTTAAAACAATTTATAATATGGAAGAAGTATTATTCCATACAATAGTACTATTATAAAAATAAAACCCCATGCTTATTCGATTTATTTTTCTATGGTCGTGCTAATAAATATTTATAGATTCATACAAAGAAACATTTTTAGATGGTTAACCAGCAGTGTTGATAATAAACACAAAACAGCAGCGTGCAGGAAGCCAGGAAGAGGAAAACCGACGGCGACGGGACGCACCGGGCCAAAATTTTCAAACTTGTTACTAGTACTGTTCTCTTCCCTTCTCTCCACTTCGCAATGGAAAAAAAAAAACCGGGAAAAAATAAAAATGTTTGGGCGTACCACGGTGGTTGTACCTAGCAGCAACGCGGGAGCACGACGCCGTTAACGCGCTCGCCCGCGCGAAATGACGCTACTACCCTCGTTGCTCTTATCCACTCGCGCCTCGTACCACCACAACCCTCCCGGTTTCCCTCGTAAATCCGGAAACCGAGCGGAGGTAGGATGGTCAATTCACCGCGCCGTCCGACTTCCCCACCGTGGCGTTGGATATAATCTTCTCGTATCGTCTCGTCCCTCTTCCGTTTTTTCCCCCAATTTCTCGTCTCCCCCCTTCCTCCAATATATCGGCGGCGATCCCGGCTCGAGGAGAGGAGGCTCCGCCGCGATTTTTTCGGTGTCGCATCGAAATTATGGTGAGTTGGTTTCCTCCCTCCCCCTAATTCCCGATCCGCAATTCGATTGCGATCTCCATTGCTTGGGTTCTGCCTTTTTTGGGGGAATATTTTGGGCGATATCGGCGAATATATGCTGGGCTCTCGCGCGATTCCTTTTTGATTATGGTGGTTGGTGTTCGGTGCGTTTTGGTTGAGGAATTTTGGCTCTAATTCGGTGCCATTAGGTGGGTTTGTGTTTAATTTGGGGATGTTTCTGAATTGTTTCCGTGCGTTTCAGATTGGGGAATGCTGTGTTTCGCCGAGATTTTCTCATCTTCCATATGTGATATCAGATTATAATTGTATGTGTTTTTGTTTCGCTGCAAATTAATTATATTGATGCGAAGTTTCTCTGCATTTGATTGCAGATTTTCGATGCATTTTAGGCTAAAAGTGCTCGGGTCTGAAACCTACGTGCTTTTCTTGTCGCCGAAGATGGTGTCAGCAAATATACATCGACGCACATGAACAGCGATGATGCGTTGCTGAATCCGTCTGAAGCTGCAATAAGCATGACGGTTTTGCAAATTATGATACTAAACCATTCATGCTGCTACGCCCTCGTCTGGAACTTTCTTCTTCTGATGCAACCGTGCACAAGCAAACCTAGCCTCGAAGCGATTGTGATGAGTTTTAGAGGTGGTGCGGGTTCGATCACGTGGAGTTCTATTGGTGTTCAGTGACTCTTGGCAAAAGTTCTCTTGTAAAATCGACGACGATGGAAAGGTCAGCAGTAATTATCTCGCGAATCATATTATTTGTTGCGTGCGCACTAATTTCTGACATGGCATCTAATTTCTTCTCAGGTACAAAGTGATAAGGGAGATAGGCGATGGCACCTGTGGGAATGTTTTTAGGGCTTATAACACTGAAACAAATGAAATTGTAAGTGCAGCTCTTGGCATAGTACATATGGTTACTTGGATCTTTTCATGTTAATTCAGTTGCCTTCTGCTCCTTATATCTACTAACCTATAAAGGAACGAACAGTATTATTTGTTGCACCTAATCACCTATGAATTTCCCACTTGAGGGAAATGCTAGCAATAATCATCTTCTACATCACCCCAGATGGCTACCTATTCGAGCTTGCACCTTGTTTGTTGGCTTATTATGTTAACATTTCCCCGAATACTGTGCAGGTTGCAGTTAAAAAAATGAAGAGGAAGTTTTTCCAATGGGAAGAGTGCATTAGTCTGCGAGAGGTGAAGGTAATATATCTCATGTGTTATCAAATGAATACAAATTTGTTTTCAAATCTGTGTGCTTAAAAGGAGAACCATCCTTCTGCAGGCACTTCAAAAACTGAATCATCCCAACATTGTGAAGTTAAAGGAGGTGACTATGGAAAATCACGAGTTGTTCTTCATTTTTGAAAACATGGTTGGTCTCAAGTCATTCTTGGCATACTTTTTTACTACTTTCTTTATGAGCAGGAAAAAAAAGAGGAAAGGCTAAACTATTACTAGCCCATATCGCTATGATCTTCTAGAGTTTTGTGGCCAGTTCCATTAAAAATACTGGCATGAATATTCTATCGTCTACAAATTACGTGTATATCTTGCGGTTCTAATGATTATAGTTCTATAGTTTGTATGCCTGTTGCATTTGTTGTGACATTACATTACGTGTATATCTGCTGAATCTTTTGGTTCACACTTCTCTCACCTGGAGCTGTTAAATATTTAGCTTTTCACTTACTCTGGTATCATTGTTTCTTTTCACAGGAATGCAATTTGTATGATGTCATAAGAGAAAGGCAAGCTGCTTTCTCAGAAGAGGAGATACGGAACTTTATGGTGCAGATACTGCAAGGTCTTGCATATATGCATAACAACGGTTATTTCCATCGTGACCTGAAACCTGGTATACCTTTCGACTATATTCTGTTGAAGTTATAGGCTGTCTATATACCCTAGAAGTTAATTAGCCTTCTCTCTTTCCTCTTTAGAAAATCTGTTGGTGACAGATGGCACTGTTAAAATTGCTGACTTTGGGTTGGCAAGAGAAGTATCTTCCAGTCCTCCTTAT